ACTATCAGCAGCAGCAGCAGCAGCAGCAGCAGCAGCAGCAGCAGCAGCAGCAGCAAGTTCACCGTTTGGAGTTTTGGTGGGGTTTCCAAATGAGCATCATCGCAGCCAGCAGCAAAAAGCACAAAAGGCGGGGGCAGCTGTCAGTCAGCAGCACTTGGTGCCTCCACCTGTCTTCAGGTTCCTAATAAATAAATAAATAAATAAATAAATAAATAAATAAATAAATAAATAAATAAATAATAAATAAATAAATAATAAATAATAATTAATTAATTAATTAATTAATTCAGTTAGAAGGGGGCAGGGGCAGCAGCTGGTTGCTGCAGGAAGATGCGCAGAAGAAGAGCCGCTGCAGCTGCGCAGGGTTTAGGGTTTAGGGTTTAGGGTTTGGGGGCTCAGGCTAGGGTTTAGGGTTTAGGGTTTACGTTTGCTCCTATCCACCCAGTCCCCCGTCTACAGGGTTTAGGGTTTAGGGTTTGTGGCTGAGGCGGGGGGCCTAGGGTTTAGCGTTTTTCGGGCTTCGAGGGTTTAGGGTTTCTAGGGTTTAGGGTTTCGGGTTTCTAGGGTTTAGGGTTTAGGTTTTCTAGGGTTTAGGGTTTGAGCAGCAGCAAGGGGTCTCACCAAGGAAGCAAAACAGAGCTGCAGCAGCAGCAAAGCAGCAGCAAAAAAAAGAGCCCCAAACAGCAGCAGCAGCAGCCGCCAATAAATCTGCAGCTTTTCGTGCTGCTTGTTTCTAACCAGCAGCTGCAGCAAACAATTCATTTTAATTCATTTTATTCTTTTTAATTCATTTTAATTCTTTTTAATTCATTTTAATTCTTTTTAATTCATTTTATTTTGTTTTAATTCATTTTATTTTGTTTTATTTTGTTTTGTTTTGTTTTAATTCATTTGCTGAACATAACAATACCCGAAACCCTAAACCCTAAACCCTAAACCCTTAAATCTCGAGAAACACAGCCCGCAGCCCGGACCCTCTCCCTAAACCCTAAACCCTAAACCCTTAACCCCAAACCCTAAACCCCAAACCCTAAACCCTTAACCCCAAACCCCAAACCCCAAACCTCAAACCCCAGACCCCAGACCCTAAACCCTAAACCCTTAACCCCAAACCCCAAACCCCAAACCGCAGACCCCAGACCGCAAACCCTAAACCCTAAACCCCAAACCCCAAACCCTAAACCGCAGACTCCAGACCCCAAACCCTAAACCCTAAACCCTAAACCCTAAACCCTAAACCCTCGCCAGACCTCGATGTTGTCGTGGAGGGCGGAAAAGATCCAGTAGAAAACAATTACATTTAAAATGGAAAGAGGACACAAAACAAAAAGAGATCTGTAGAAAGACTGCGTGGCGGAGACTTCAGACGCAGTGGTTATTTGCCTGCAAACAAACCCTAAACCCTAAACCCTAAACCCTAAACCCTAAACCCTAAACCCTCAGGATGAGGCAATGAATAGCAACAAATTAAATATGACAGAGGAGAGCTATGAACATACAAAAAGTGTTAGATAAAAAAGAATAAATAAATAAATAAATGAATAAATAAATAAATAAATAAATAAATAAATAAAAGAAAATAAAAAATAATAAAATGCTATTTTTTATTTGGCAGTGCCACCAGAGGCCAGAACAAAAGCATGAAAAAGAGAAAAGCAGCAAAAGTAAATAAATAAATAATTTGTAATTCATTTTAATTCATTTTAAATTAATTATCATTTATTTCTAATTGGTGATTAATTAATACTGACTTGTCAATTAAATAATTAAATAATTAAATAATTAAATAATTAAATGAATAAGAAATAATTCATTATAAAAAAGAACACTCAGTTCGAGGAGAATTTCTTGGAAAAGAATAAAAAAAGAATAAAAAAGAACATAATAATCAGATTTGGAAACAAAATAGACCATTAAAAAGGAAATAAAGAATAGAATAATACCACCAAGTCTGAGCAGAAAGAAAATAATAATTGGAATTTAAAACAAATTAGGCCACTTAAAAGGAACTTTAAAATAGAACAAGAATGCCAAGTTCGAACAGAATTTGACCAAAAAAGAATTAAAAAAAAGAAAATAATAATTGGATTTTAAAACAACTTAGACCATTAAAAAGGAAATTAAAAATAGAACAAGAGTGCCAAGTTTGAGAAGAACTTGACTAAAAAAGAATTAAAAAAAATAAAAAAACAAATAAAATAATAAAAAATAAATTCACCTCAAGGAGTAAAGGGCAATGTAGGCGGCGACGAGAAAGAAGACTTTGTTGAGAGTTTTCTTTTCCAAAAAGGGCTTCGTAATGGACCAGCCGAGGGCCCCCAGCAGCAGCAGCAAATAAAGAGAAATATATTTGCTGAGGGAAAGAGCAGCAGCAAGCAGCAGCAGCAGGGGCCCCGGGGGGCCCCCCATTGCGGTGTACGTACACCCGAAGGCAGCAGCAGTCTCGGCGAGCCCCACTGCAGCAGCAGCAGCAATCAGCAGGTGCAGCTTGATGATGTTGCTGCGGTTGCAGCACAGCAGCAAACCCCACGCTGCTGCTGCTGCCAGGTGCAGCAGCAGCAGCAGCAAGTCAGCAGCAAGAGCTGGATATAAATAACCTGGCAGCAAACCCAGGGGACTTTTTACAGAAACTTTTCCTTTTATTTTTAAGTCATTTAAAGGCCCGCAATTTGCTGTTATTAAAAAGTAAATCCCGCTGTCCCGCACGCTGAACTGCCGCTCCCCCGCTGCTGCTGCTGCTGCTGCTGCTGCTGCTGCTGCTGCTGCGCTTCCGCCCGCGGCAGCAGCAGCCCCCTGCTGCTGCTGCTGCTGCTGCTGCTGCTGCAGCGTGCTGCTGTCCAGGCCCACAGGCACCACGTACACCTCCTCGCCCTCGTACTCCTCAACCGGCTCCTCCCCGCTGCTGCAGCTGCTGCTGCTGCTGCTGCTGCTGCTGCTGCTGCTGCTGCTGCTCCAGAAGGAGCGCCGCAGCGCGTAAGGATACGGACACTCCTTAGTTGCTGCAAAGCCACCAGCAGCAAAAGGGCCCCCGCAGCAAAACGAAACTGGAGAAGAATGATGCAGCATTCTTTTTAGCTGCTGGTATTTTATTAATGCCACTTCTATTCCAGCTGGAGACACCGCCAGGGGGCCCCCCTGGGGGCCCCCCTGGGGGCCCCCCTGGGGGCCCCCCTGGGGGGCCCCCTGGGGGGCCCCCCCCTGGGGGGCCCCCCCTTGGGGGGCCCCCTGGGGGGCCCCCGGGGGGGCCCCCGGGGGGGCCTCCTGGGGGCCCCCGGGGGCCCCCGCATTGTGGGAGGCCCCTCTGGTTTGCTGCTCTATGGCTGCGAGCTGCTGCACCTCGTTGCTGCTGTCTGGGGTGAGCTGCAGCGCAGCAAAGGTGACCGTGTTGGGTTTGCTGCTGCTGCTGCTGCTGCTGCTGCTGCTGCTGCTGAAGAGCCAAAAAGAGCTGCTTTGGGGGTCCGAGCGGCCGTATATGAAGAAAGGGTTTGGATTGTGTTTGAGAGTTTCAGCAGCAGGTGCTGCTTGGGAGTCGAAGGAGAAAGTTTGAGCTGCTGCTGCTGCTGCCCCCAGCAGCAGCAGCAGCAGCAGCAGCAGCAGCAGCAGCGGCTGCTGCGGCAGCGCCGACGCTGCTGCAGGGGCCCCCAGGGGGCGCCGAAGAGCCCAGGGGGCCCCCATGGGTCTTCGCAGAAGGAGGGTCGGGACGGGCCACCAGCAGCAGCAGCAGCAGCAGCAGCAGCAGCAGCAGCAGCAGCAGCAGCGACTGCAGCAGCAGGGGGCTAGGCAGCAGTTCTCTCTTGAGAGTTTGACGAATTAACAATTAAAAGAAAAGAAATAAAAGGAAAAACAGAAAGAAGGCAGCAGACACAGCGGCAACGGCGAACGCAGCAGCAGCAGCAGCAGCAGCGGGAACAGCAGCTGCCGCTGCTGCTCTTATTTGCTTCCGGAAGCAGCTGCTGCTGCTGCAGCGACTCTAATGAAGTTAATTTATTGTTTTTATTTTTAAAATAAAAATAAATAACATTCAACTAACTCCAGAAGAGCGGACGCACCACCGCCGCCGCCTGTGCCGAGCTGCCTATACACCTGGGGGCCCCTGCCAGCAGCAGCAGCAGCAGCAGCAGCTGCTGCTGCTGCTGCTGCTGCTGCAGCAGCTTATTGAAACTTAAAGAGTCTTGAGCCACAAAATGGCATTTAAATTGTTTTAAATAAACTTTAATTGTAATTCAGCGAAAATGGCCCTGGAGACGGACTTGCAGAGCCAACACCACACTGCGGGGGCCCACTGCTGCTGCTGCTGCTGCTGCTGCTGTTGCTGCTGCTGCCGCTGCTGCTGCTGCTGCTAAAAGCTGCGACGCCCACACACTGGGGTGTACGTACACTCGAATGAAGTTATATCACTCTGCTAGCAGATAGAGCAGCACTCAAAGCCAACTCGGCCACATTTGCTGCTGCTGCTGCTGCTGTGCTGCTGCTGCTGCTGCTGCTGCTGCTGCTGCAACACTGCTACCCCTGCTGCTGCTACCACTGCTGCTGCTACTGCTGCTGCTGCTGCTGCAGCGTTCCAGAAAGTCAAAAGCTAGCAGCGAAGACATCAGCGGAGTCAAACTGGAAAATGAAGAATCGAAATAAATTAAAAATGAAAATAAATAAAAGAAATAAATAAAATAAATAAAAGAAATAAATAAAATAAATAAAAGAAATAAAAGAAACAGAGGCAAATAAATAAATAAGTAAAACTAAATTAAAAATAAAACAAAACAAAATAAAATAAATAAAATAAATTAAAGTAAAATGTCCAAAGTGGAAAATAAAAAGTCAAAAGTTGTAAAAGAAATTTATCTTTTTCGCTTTTTTTCTTTTCTTCTTTTTGCTGCTCTTGTGTCCTTTTTGAGTCTTCTGTCAACAAACTTAACATCTCTGTTTTTCCTGCTGCTTCGCAATTTGCTGCTGCTGCTGCCGCGCCGTTTTGCTGCTGCTGCTGCAGCAGCAGCAGCAGCAAC